TTATTTATTAAGCCCGCAAAGTCGTAATTATGCAAAGCGACAAGAGTTTATGGCTCGCTGCTAGTGTCTATTTGCTGCTGTTGTTGTTGTTGTTGTAGCTGTTGCTGTTGTTGTTGTTGTTGTTGCCGCTGATGAGTTGCAACTTCATGTCTGTCATGGGGCGTGTTGAGTGCACGGCAATATTTCTTAAATGCCGCACAAATCTGTCAGCTTCGAACCACTATTTTGAATATTGCACTCCCAAATCTAATCCCCGAACAATTGTAGGTTGTCTTCAGGAAAATCACGCGGTAGCAGAGCCAAGAGTTGAATAAAATATTTAAATAGGTCGTAGTTTTTGGTAGCAGACAGGCAGCTGGACAGCAGATAGATGTACAATTTATAATTATAATTATAGTTCTAAGCAGAAAGTTATTCGGCTAAACGAATTGCACAGTAGAATGACCTAATTTTTCAAAAAATTGTGTTTTATTTTTTAAACTTGACCATTTTTTAATGAAAATTAACATACATGCGTGTAGCTAGATTTGAATTTTCATATAAGACGAAATATACGCGAACCCATTCAGTTTTCCGTAATATTCGAATAAATGAACTAATTAAATAATTAAATAAAATAAATGAATTAATTAATTAATCGATAGTGCAACTTTTAATGACTTATATTTCTTTTTAGGTGATTATTGGCCAAACATATTTATGCTTTTTAAACAGGTCATGAAATTACCTTCAATTTCACAAACAATAATGCAAAAAATCAATTTAAATAATTCAACTTTCATAATACACGAAATATTTTGGACCATTAGTAATTAGTACGCCAATATTATGTTTTTAAATAAGACTCTAAAAAAGTGAAATGTCAACATAAATTGTAAAACTAACCTTATATGAAAATAAAAACATAAGCTCATGGGTAAGCAAAGGATAGCAAATGGCAGCAAAGCTACGACTGGTGATGCAAATAATTTGCACAGACATCGCTATTAGTTAACAAATTGCCTTGAAAAGGGGATAACCAAAGATGATTGTAATATAAGAAATCTAGTTGGTCTTAGTTGAAGAAACATGTATACTACATATATACTTATATATACTTGTAAAATATGACAAAATTGTGTGCAAATTATTTCTCTGTTTAAGCTTAAACTTAAAATAATTGTCTTGTTGTTTTTATAATAATTACAAATTAAAGGAGTGAAGGGCCGTAGCAGAACTCTAATGAACTTCTAGGGAGTTAATGTTTTAAAAATTTCGTTTTTTAATCAGATTTTTATTTTGTATCTTAAGTAAACGTCCAAAAAAATCAACAACAAAAATAAATAACCTTCAGCGAAAACTGTAATATAATTCAGAGAACTTTATAAAATAATTGAAATTGGTATTGACTTCCATAATATGAAATTTAATAATTTCTAATAGTTTTAGAAAAAAAATTGTGTAGAATTCAAGAAAGCCCCTTTTGTTGAGGTCTTAAGATGCTACTGATGCCAAAATACAATTTTTACACTGTTTAAAATAATGCATTTTTAAGGAAGTCCTGAAATAAAAGGGAATTTTTAATGAGAGCTAAACTGATTACGATTGTTTAAAGCTATTCAAAGATCGTGAATAAAAGAAATTATTAAAACGAATTTTATTTTCTTTTTAAATGTTATTGTATTTCATAAAAAAATATGGGCTATCGATATAGATAACAATATTTTTTTTTATTTAGTACATCAACAATAATTCTGTCGATTATAATAGTTCAAATATATTTTAACATTTTATATAGTATATTAAAATAAAAAAGAAAATTATGATATAACTTAATATAACAATTTAAACTCAACTTAAAAGATAAGTTATATATAGATAAGAAATAATAATTCCAATTTAAAAGTAATGAGTGAAGAAATTGATAGAAAATGCTTAGCTTTCAGCCTGCACATTATAAGTAGTTTTTGAACACCCAACTTAAGAGCTTTTTTCCAATACTGTATGAAAATATAGTTGGGTTTATCATAGAGCATACATTTTTATTCAAGTTATAGGAACTATTTTACACGACGTGTTTGGAGAAAATTGATTCAATCGATAACTTCTGAAATTACAAGTACTTTACTTTTAGTTGGCGCTCAGCATTCATTTTTATTTGACTTTAAGCGTAAGCACTTCTTCTTCTTTCCCTCCAGAGTAATATTTACTTTTCGAAAGGGAATATGCATATTGTTTTCAATAAAAAGCACACTTTTTCTACTTCTTATGATAACTATTTTCTCACCTTCCTTATATATTCCTTATATATATTTTGGTAGATTTCAAAACATTCAAAACTTTCAGGCTTTCATAAATTTCTACGATACAAATTTACAATATTCTTATCGAAATTCAACAAAGTACAAATAGTTGTTGAGCAATTCACAAATAAATAATTACATATGCATATATTCTTTAAGCTAAGCATGGTCAGATCAAGCACATCAGAATTCAAATGTTACTTCTATTTAGAGTTCTACAAAGTTTTTCCATTGCCACAAGCAACAAAGGCATCTACTTTAAAGGCTCATCTATAAAATCGAACAGTTGGTTCTCTAAGCGCAACTAGAAGTCTCTTCTTTCCAGTTATCTAATCTTACTTTTTTTCTAAATCTTTATTCCTTACTTATGATCTTTCCTAAGGGGGACAATTATTGAATTATATGGTAGCATGGGATTTGTTCAATCTTACTTTTGAATTTATTCATTTCAGCGCACGTTACAGTGCAGAGAATTCTAAATAATATATTACAATATAAGGGGAGGATACACGATTTTCTCAACAAATCTCTGCTGCGGCTAAAAAATAAAACACTTCTGTGCATCTGAGATATCTGGTCTGAGATCACATCCCACAATTTTGCAATTGTCACTTAATTGCCAAATATTGTGTCGGCCTGAACTGTACTTGAACTCTGGCCAGCAAAGTGCAAGACGATAAGACAACGAGAAACAGCAACAACAGCAACAACACTACCAACAATAACAATAGGTAGCGACATTGTTGTTGCCATTCAATAGTCAGCTCGCAGATTTTATTTAGAATCTTTTGGCAGTTGCGATTGGGCCAAGTTTGTGTTTTAGGGTGCCGCTCGAGCGTGGCCCGAATTTTGGGCTCAGTGCAGTACAGCCGGCAACAAAGGGCTCTGCCAGGCTTGCCAACAACAGCAACAACAACAGCAACAATACGAGTAACAGCCACTAAGCGTCTAGTCGCATCGTCAGTGGCAACAATTTGGCAATCATTTGCCTATCATTTGATCAATGGCTCGACGCGAGCAGGGAACGTGTTGGCATTTTGCATATGCTGAGTATATCTGTCTGTCTGTCTGTCTGTCCATCTGTCCATCTGTCTGTCTGCTTACATACATAATAAGGCAATAGATGTTTCAACTTAATTATAATTTGTTGGTGTGTACGTGTGTGCGTGTATTGAAATGGCTTGCAAATAATTTGGCGTTTGTTGTTTTCCTGGTGGCATGTAAAACACACAGGCCGCTTAAATAATTCTACGCATAATTTTTCACACACAGCCTCGCACCGAGAGTTCAATGTTTTGTTTTCTTCCCAAATCTAGCCGAGAAATCCTTGAGATATGTCAATAGCCTTTCCGATTCATCTCATCAGCCATAAATTACACACAGACATTGTTCAAATTCTTGCCTAAAATCAACAAAAACAATCCCAACAACAACAACTCCCAGTTGGCAAGTCAACGCACCTTTGTAGGCTCATGAATTTTACTACAATTGTGGTCGCCGCCGCCGCGCCGAGTTACGCACTTTTCTGCCTCGCTTTTGGGGCGGCAGACTAGGCGAAAATCGAGGCCTCGGCCCCATGGATGGCTAAATTTTAGGCAAATGTATTCATGTGAGGTGCTGGAGATTTTCATGCGTTTCGCACTCACCCCCCACTCCTACCCATGAGGGAGAAAAATGTCAGGAATAGTGAGCAACAAATTAAACACGTGGCTCTCTCTCACTTGGAATCTCAGTAACTCCAGTCCACTAATTAATCAATCACTAATATGTTTGAAATAGAGATCACAACCGGGGGAATTATTTTCTCCTATCTAGGCTTTCCTAGCTTATAAGGGGGTTTTTTTTTTAAATTTGACAAATAAAATAAATAAATGAAAAGGATAAATCCGACAATTCCCCTCGATTTCTTGGTCTACTCCTTTGTCTCCCTATACTCATATAGTTTCCCTGCTTGATATATTTTACATATGTATTTAATATAATATTTTGATACAAAATTACTTTCTTCAAAAATGTATCATCAACTAAAGTTTACTTTAAATTGAATGCCGGACTCGTAATATCGTAAAATACGATATTCAGATACGCTGAACTGTTTTCGCACGCCTTAAACAACAGTGCTGTTTTGAGCAAATCGAAAGAACTGCTTGTTTGAACTGCATAGTCTTTTGTATTGAACAAGCTGGCAACACTTTTGCAGTGCTGCCTGACAGCCTAAAATAAAAAGCCGCCAGCAGTATGAATGCTTTTGGAATTTAAAAACTATTTTAGCAATGCATGAAATAATAAAACACCCGTCGAGTTAGAGACGTTATTTGAATATTTTGTGGACATATTTGCTTTTATAATTATTGGAATCCATAATCTTAAGATACTTTTTGAACTATATACGATAGATACATATACACTTCCATTTATTTACAAATAAATGCAGTTTATTTCAATAAGTTAATTGGCGCGAGACCTGTTCTATTTTTGTACAAATTATGTTTTTAAGTTGATTTGCAACTTGATTTAATACTTATATTTTGAATGTTAAGGCATATTATAATGAATTAACTGAAGCTTGTTTTCCAGCATTTTCTGTTTTCAAACTTACGGCCACACTAAAAATTGAAAGCGAAAGAGCGTGGAAGCCGCAAATTGGCCGATTAATTTATTGAGCAAAGCAAAAGGGAAAATAGTTTAGTCAACTCTTCATCGCGAACGCGAACGGGTGGCACGCTGTATTTCGTCTGTAATTGGCACACAGAAATAAAAACTAAATAAAAATTTGAGCAATGGGCAATTTGGAAACCGATGCCGCTGCTCCCTTCGAGCAGAGCTATGCCACCACCAATGGCAATGGCAAGCCCGCCAACCCCGCCATGGAGGAAGAGGAGGACCACGAGACGCTGATGCAGCGCAAGTTCTCAGCGCCGGCATACACGGAAATAAAGACGAGAAAGAATGCTGCCAAGGTTTCGTCCGCCCACAGACTTAAGGTAAGGTTAAGAGCAGTGTTTATCCCAGTGATGGACTACATACATACATATCAGCCGTACTGGTGTTGCCTAATTGGGCAGCGGTGGCGGCAGCAACCAAGATTCGCACCGGTTGCCATGGCCATGGCGGCGGTGGCCTGATCTCATTGATTTTGAGTGCAAAACGTGTGTGCTTGTGGTGCGAAGAAGAGAGCGTGTGAGAGGAAGGGAGTAGGAGTGGGAGAGCGAGAGCGAGAGCGGGAACGCGAATGCGAGCGAGAGAATGCGGCACATGCCATCAGCGCCGCCAGCTGGAATATATTGGCAGCATTGTGAGGGCCTTCTTCAATTTTCTGGGTCACGCCCCAACCTCAGCTGTTTACACTCCGAATTTGGTGGGCTGGTGGAAAAGCGCAGCGATTTTCTTTACTTCCCTATTGTGCGGTGTTGCTTGTTTATTTTTCACTTCCACTTCCAGCACGTGCGCGTCTCTCTGTGGTTGTCCTCCCAAGGCAGTGCTTCGACGTCCAAAATGTCCTCGAACTGTATTGGATTTTTATTTGTATTTGTATTTATCTTTGGGCGTGCTTTGATAATATAAGTCTCGATACGGGGCGCGCGCGTTTTCATTTGTAAAGCGCCCGTCATATATTTCGCACTTTTCCTTATCAGCTAATTTCAAATAAATTCTTTACGTAAAGCCTCAAACAATATCAAATGAAAATAAAAAGGTCGGGTCCGATGATTCACGCAATTCGTGGTGTGGTCTAAAGCCGACAGCCAACAACATAGCATGACACTTGCACTCAGCGCTGATTGTACACATTATGTCCGTCTATCTATAAAAAGCACCGATTTTCACCTGAATAATATTGGCTATGCGAGATTGGGCTCTACGATTACTATGACTAATTAGGAATTGCTAATCAGTAGAGCTCTGAGAGCCAGAAGCAAGGTCCCATCATTTACTTTTTTTTCATAATCATAATAATTTGTTTCCATGTGAAAGAGCGATCTGAGTTTAAAATGTGTGAATTATATTAATTTCATACTCGTACATTTCTTAATCAGTTATTTTAAAAAGAGAGTAAGAAATAATAAACATTTTAGATTACCTATCCGGTCTGTTAATACAATAGAAAGTTCCATCGTTTAACTTATCAGGTGGTAATTGATACTGAAATGAAATGGGACTTGTTATTAATTTCAATTTAATTTATTCACTTTTCTTAAAAACATTATGAATTTACAAGTGAGGCAAAGATATCTTGCTGTTAAGAGTACAGGCATTTCTACTCAATTAAACAAAATGGAAAAATATAAAAGGTTAAACAACAATTGTGACAGCGTAAAGCGGGAAAAATTATACAAAAAAAAACCCATAAAGCTAATGACTTAAACATGGGACTTGTAGTGGTTTTAATAATCGTTATATGAAATTAATAGGTATTTATAATAAAATATTTCCCAAACTTGCCAATCTGATTCTAAAAAGAACAACGATTCCAATTAGCTTATTTATATTGTATTTGACAGCTGAATTAAATTGAATGTTGAAAGTTGAATTCTAGAATCAAAAACTAAACTTGATATCAGAAAAGAAATCATTGAGTTTTGAGTTTATTGGAATTAGGCTATACTATAAGCGACCTAAAAAGTTATCTTCATCTGTGCCGAGTGATGCAAAGCCATTAGATAGATTAGACCACATCATTCTCATTTTGCAATTTTGTTTCAATTTATTTATAAACAAACCAATTTTTCATACAAAAACTCTTTCTAAATCAAAATGTTTTTTATAGAAAGATCAATATATGATCTCTGTGTTGTAGAGTATTTATTGAAACAGACAGGCCGACAAGCAGACACCTTGATTTGAATTCGTCTCACAATGCTGGCACTTTAATATAAGGAACCCAAACATTTCCAAAGTTCCCAAAATAACATTATGATGGTTAATGGGCTCAACGATATTCGAATAATCAAGAGATCCGATCCCAGACAATCCCCTCAAATGCGTTTTTAAAATAGTTCACCATTCCCCTGCCTCTCTGATTGACAATGCTTGTAGAACGCTTTTATACACTCTCCCATGCTCTATAGAGCTCTTGATGTGTGCAAATTTTGATTATTTACTTAGCCTATCTGAAGCCCAAAGATGCTGATAAAGCTGAAGAGAACAATGTCGCTGTTTTTTAAGTAAATGTGCCTGCAAAGCGGCTATTTTGTGTTTATTCAAACGGTTCATTGTGTTCTCAAATTTTAAATGGGTGTTTTTCTTTTTATTTTTATTTTTCGAAATGCAAAGTGCACGGCCTTAGCCCCTCAATGGCAGTCGCCTCGTTTGCCTGGCTAAACAACCATAAAGAATTCTTGGCTCTGGCTTGTTTTTAGAGTACGATGTACAGCCTGGTATTTAAACGCAAAGTTTTCGTTAGTAGCTTCGTTACCTGATAAGCTCCACTGGCCTAACTACATTCCTACCTACTTAAATATCTATGCCTCGCATTATTTTCAGAATCATTATCTGTTATCGCGAACACATAACGAGCATTTCATTTATTTATTTGTGTCGGTTTTGTTTCCATTTATTATCTATACACATGTACTGTCTGTAATGTAATGTCAATGGATGTCAGCCCACTATTCGGTATATCCGTGCTTTCCATACAATCCCTGCTTCAGCGATTTCAAATGCTAAACAGCCGATGGCGTGTACAGCTCGAATGTAAACATTGCCGCTGGTTTTTACTTTATATAATAAAAAAAATAAGCGTATTTGTAAACAAATTCAAATGTAAATGATAATAAACACGTAGACGCAATTGCAGCTAATTCATGGCACTCTTGATGCTCGTCATTGTTATGTAATTGAAGTTATGGCTATTTATAAAGCACTATTACAGGGCACAAGTACAATGGCTGCCACTTACCATACCTCTAGGATTTGCTTTATAACAAGCTGGCATTCATGTACATACTGTGCTGCTCATGTCCAAACAAAATTAGAAAGACCTTTGCAATCCCCCTAATGATACTTTAATGATTGCCTGCACATCACAGAAATCTAATCATAATCATCAAGAACTTGTTCCTAACATTCAATCCTGCTGCTTATATCCAATTCCCTAAGTCGGGGTCATCAAATGTTATAGAACGTTAGCGTTAACTTCTTAGCACCCATTAGAACTAGTGGTGAGCGCTAATAGAACGAATCTCTGCATTTTCGTAAATCTTTCTTTAAAGAACAAGTTTAAGTTTATCGCTTTCCTTGGTCGCATATAAAAAAGCAAGAAAATCCATTGAAAGCATAAATTCTATCTTTACGATTAAGTTTTATGGTCAGTCTGAAAGCTTATATTGATTTCTTTGCTTATCGCTAGCATAACCCCAACTGATTGCTGACCTGTAAGATACGTGTCCAGTTGTCCGACCTTCCTCTAATGACACCTTTGGAAATTCTTGAGCACTGCTTTCCCAATCAATACGAGTATAGGCTGACCTGCAAGTCATGCGTACATTTCAGAAACCCACTCGGTCTTTCTATATACTTGTAGTATGTCATTATACAGGTATAAAAAAGTAATACAATTACTTAATTGCGTGCGAATATAACGCGTTAATGATGTCTGCCGAGGCAGTACGTACTCGTATGTGTGTCAGGTTGCTTTTATGGCTTCCATATGCATGCCACTACGTACATAGAACGTACATAGATATATAGATGGATAGTTAGGTACAGGCATACCGAAGCACAACTATAAATATACAAATGTAGCTAAATGTATTACAATTGACTTCACACTTGCTGTCAATTGCTCGGCATTCAACGCATTTTTTAGTGTTTTAGTGTTCAAATGTTAATTGACCGTTTGGGGCAGGCGCTCTCGTTTGATAACCTAATGCTTGCTGCATACACTTTGGCCCACTGTGCAGAACTTGTTTGCTCAGCGCCAAAATTGAAATCAATACGCACACCTAAAACGATAGCACCTGTCGGCGTGCCGTCCCTCTCCCCCAACCCGAGCCTAAACAATCGCGTGTTTTTCGCGACCAGCTGTTGCCGACTTTGCATCGACGATGGCGTCCACGTGATAAGCCCTGCGATATCAACTACTTAGTACAGATACAGATACAGATAGAAATAGAGATATGTATGTACATATATTTAGGTACGACAACGATAAGACTATGATGCATCAGTCACTAATGAACTGAACTTTATTTTGGGGTCCACAGAACATCGCCAACGGTGGCTACCATCCGGCCAAGCAGCTGCATCTGAATGGACACGCCAAGACGGCGGTTAGCGACAGAGAGTTCAAGTCTTCACAGGCCGATGGGGTGCTGTCGCCGGAGCAGGAGCACTATCAGAAGAGCTCCTTCGAGGAGGTGCCCCTGCACACTGCCTGCCTCACATACCTGGGCTTCTATCTGCTCATGATACTGGGCTACATAAATCAGCTGCTGTTCGTGCCCAAGGTGGCCAAGGAGAAGGGACGCGACGGCTATGTGGCGCTCTACGATGCCTTCGAGAGCTTCTATTCGCGTTATGTGTATCGGCGAATACGTGATTGCTGGAATCGGCCGATTTGCAGTGTGCCCGGCGACGAGCTGACGCTGAAGGATCGCGTGACGAACGATTATGGCTGGAGTTTTAAATTTACGGGCACGCAAACACGTTGCCTTAATTTGGGCTCATACAATTATCTGGGCTTTGCCTCTTCAACGGGCACGTGTGCCGATAATTCGGAGGCAACGGCACGCCAGCTGGGCCTTGCGTATTGCAGCTCGCGTTCTGAGCTCGGCGAGACGCAGCTGCTTGCCGACTTGGAGAGGCAAACGGCGCGCTACTTTGGGGTGGAGGATGCCATTGTCTTTGGAATGGGCTTCGCCACAAACGCCCTGAACCTGCCCTCGTTACTCTCGCCCGGTTGTCTGGTGGTCAGCGATGAGAAGAATCATGCCTCCATTATTCTGGGACTGCGTCTCTCCGGCGCCACCATCAAGGTGTTCAAGCACAACAATATGCGAGATCTGGACCGAGTGCTCCGCCAAGCAGTAGTTTACGGCAATCCGAAGGCCGGTGGCAAACCCTGGAAGAAGATAATGATCATTGTGGAGGGCGTCTTCAGCATGGAGGGATCTATTGTGCGTCTGCCCGAGGTCATAGCGCTGAAGAAGAAATACAAGGCCTACTTGTATCTGGATGAGGCGCACAGCGTGGGTGCGATGGGACCGAATGGCGGCGGTGTGACGGACTACTTTAGGGCGGATGCCAAGGATGTGGACATACTAATGGGTACATTCACGAAGAGTTTTGGTAGTGCCGGTGGCTACATAGCCGGCTCTAAGGTGAGTTCCACAACCAATAGAGACCTAAACATCTCTGCATTTCTACTTAAATGAAATTCTATATTTGCAAACCGATTTTGATCGCGTGCCACTTAATTAATTTGTAATCAACCTGACCTCGATGGCACAACTCGGGGAAATCTGGTAAATGTGCACAAATGAAGCAAAGTTATCGATACATTCCTAAATAGCGCCTACACGAGTTATCCGATTAAAGAGTGATCTGTAAGCGAAATAATACACCCTTTCAAAATCAATAAACCTTAGAGAAGATATTTGCAAAACAATAACAGTTAAATTGCGGGGTTTTATCAATTTATCGAGAACTGATCGCCAATTTATCGAACATTTGTTGGCTGATTCAGCAGGAACTCACAGGGACCTAATATCAGATTCCATTTATTGACTGTGCTGCTGTTCTCTCTCTCTCTCTCCCCCACCTATCTATTGCAGAAACTGATTGACTTCCTGCGCGCCAACAGCCACGCCCACTGCTATGCCAGCTCTATTTCACCGCCCATAGCGCAACAAATCTACACTTCGATGCGCATCATCATGGGCGAGGATGGCACAGACATTGGTCGTCAGAAGATTAATCAGTTGGCTCGGAACGCGCGCTACTTCCGCAAGCGCTTGGCACAGATTGGAGTGATCACCTACGGCCATGAGGACTCCCCAGTGGTGCCCATGCTGGTCTATTTGTTCTCCAAAATTGGGTAAGTGCGGCCAGTTCTTATTAAAAGCTCTCTCTGTAATACCGTTTCTGTTCTGTTTAGTGCCGTGGTGCGTACCTTGACAACTCGCCATATCGCTGTGGTGGGCGCCGGCTTTCCTGCCACGCCCATTATGGAGGGTCGCATTCGATTCTGTCTATCGGCGGCGCACACTAAGGAGCAGCTCGACTACGCGCTCGATGTTATCGATGAGATAAGCGATGATTTTGGCTTGAAGTATTCACGCAAACCCAAGGATCTAAATCCTATCGAGTACTAGGGAACCCACAACAATGCCTACACACACACACGCACATACACATAGAGCATAGCTTTCTTCGAAGGTTAACAAGCAAACTGTGCGGCCCATATTTACGAAGAAATGTGGTGCATTGTTTGCTTAAAATGTATTTCCACTAATTAATTTATTGATGTACAATTGGCCGAGCGCCTCGAGTCGTAAATGTCGTATTTTAGAGCTAATACCTCAATTTATTAACTAATCTTAAGCGTCGACCACAAAGTGAATATAAGAATGAACAGTAAGCGGGGAGCTCTGCAAATAACAACAAACAAACAAATGCCTTCTCAGTTACGAGCTGTTGAGTTTGGAGTCTGTGTGTTCTACCAAAGCAACAACTACAATCACCCCAACAAGTTACAGAATATTATTAGAATCTAAGCATTTATTTAAGTACTTCTTAGTGCATATTATAATGGATAGTATGAAGCAACGGTTTCTTGAATTCCAATTCCAACTAACCTTTAAAGAACTGTAAATTTAGGAATAGTTTTGATTGCCTATTTTGTCATATCAATCACCAACTATTACGTGACTAAAAGCGAACGATAAAGTCGCAATGAATTATATTTTTAAAACAATAAAAATGTAGAAAATATTCAAAAGTTGTACATTATCGAATTTACCAACAGATTAGTCGCCATTATTTGTTCCTCTCTGATATTTTTCAAAAGAAAGTCCGAGCCGCTGTGTTATATACAATCGTTAAAAGAGGAAACTATAGCTATGTATATCTTTCTATAATACTTCGTAGATGAGTCTTCCTAGTAGCGTCAAATACGGGATATATTTTCTAGTATCTAGTACAATCTACATTAGACGCGTAAACGAAGGTATAAACACGGAAGTTTTGTAATGGAAAATGCTAACATATAAATACAATAAATATCAAATTATCGAACCTACTCTATATAGTGCTATATAGTGAATTTGAAATCGTGGAATTCAAGAACGGCTTGCTTCAACTCATAAAGGATATATTTAATTTTTACTTTATTCAGAGCATTCCTTTCTTTAGTTCGAGTTTCAATCGCTTAGGGAATATCAGGTTTTGGTTTACTTTTTAGCACACGCACATATATTCATACGTAGTTGAGTGTTCAGTTTTAAAATTAAGTATTAAGGCTTTCCAGCGAACAGTAGCAGCACAACAACTACAACAACAGCAGCGACAACAACAACAAGTTTGCACAACACACCTCGCCTAGCCTCAATTAGGAGCTAAGTAAAAAGATTGAAAACCTTAGGTCAAGCACTAATAAATATTAAATAATATTTAATTATGATAACATTACAATAACTATGTATTAATAATTATATTTTTCTATCGAAAATATACATTTGTTGCTTACTTACGAAGGCAAAATAGTTGGTAAATGATTCTAACAAAGGCTAGATAAGTGTTTGTAATTTTATCTTTGTTCGTTCAAGTTCAACGTCCATTTCCGTACAGTCTGTTGAAAAGTTTTATCATAATCAATTAAATTTGGTTTTTATATGTTTTATTCTCTATCGGCATGGTATGCAGATATTTGTACGCATATATCTGAATTAGCGTATAGCAGCAATATTTTTTCAATCGTCGCTGTGGAATATATTATATATGTATAAATCAGGCCGTTCTTCGGTATTCTTATAATACAAATAATTCCAGCGAGTATTCGGATTTGTTCTTCACCGTCGGTCTCCAATATGTCTACAATTTCTTTGCAGTAGAATGGTTTTAATAAATTTGTGAAAACAAAATACCGAACAGCAAGAAGGCGATTTCATAGTTCTTCTTCTAAAAAAGAAACCACTTAGAGGTGAAAAATACATAATAATTATAATAAATTATTAATTATATAAATTTGTACCAATCGCTGAAAAAAAAACACTTTTTTATAAATAGCTATTATTACGATATTATTTGGTATTCATAAGCTATATAGTTTTATCAAAATCGGTGAAACATATCATATAGCTGTAAAGAGTCGCTTTCATTCTTTTGGTTCGCCTACAACGAATTTTAAATCGTGTTTTGATCCTTTCTATTAACCGCGAGAGTGGATAGGTATTGTTGTAAGTAGGGCTGTTGTTGTTATTGGGCTTTCTGTGTATTTTTCAGTAGGTCCTGCTTAAAAAATCAATTCTACTGTATCTGGATCATCCAAAAAAGTGCTGAAATGTTCTATCTGAATCGTTGTCTCTGCTGCATCGGGCTGGGCAATGGCTGTCGTCTAATAGCCTTGATTGAACTGATAGTGTACGGATATCTGTTCCATTGGTTCATTATCACATATGGTATGTTAAAGCCATATCATGCCATACAATATCATATCTATCTATATATCTAAACTATTTATGCTCGTAAATAACTTGAAGGTATGGAGTTGATGCTCGAGTCCTTGGTGATCCTCTTCCTGTGTCTTTGCTGGCTGCTTAGCATTGGGCTTTATTTGGCCACGATCTGTGTAAGTCTTATTTTTGAGAAGCCGCTTCTATCTGCTCGCTTGACTATCTGCTCGTATCTCTCTCTGCCTAGAAATCTCCTGCCATATTGTTTAGCTATTTGCTGTGCGGAATTGTAAGCAGTATTTTCTTTTACGCTTATCTTGGAGTATCGTTATGCAAAGGCTCCCATCTGTTTATTCATATAGCTGTATTATTCTTGAGCCTTGCAGGTGCGTGCTTTCGATAACAGTTTATTTCCTATTTTATTAGTTTTTAAAACATATTTCATGCTGGTCGTGGTTTCCTATCAACACATGATTGTGCAAAGCGGCATTGAAACTTGAAGATGCAACGCTAATATAATGGTGTAAATCGAATACGTAAATCGAGGCAACTAAAAAAAACTGAAATATAATAGAAAAGGTTAAATGAAAATTGGCATTAACCCGACGAGGAAAATTGGTGGAAGTTTTAAAAAATTAGTTCAGCGCTCTCTATAGGTTGAAAATTACTGAAGGCTCCATCTGTTGGCTAATGAAGCATACTCCCAACTCAAAGTGGTGAGAAATGGTGAGATAAAACGCATTGGCGTTGCCACTACGCTTCAAGATTCGAAATTAAAACATTTTGTTCATCAACCAACGACTATCATATTAAACGGTAAGTGACTAAAAACTAAAAATAAATGAGAAAAAAAAACGTATTTTCAATTTATTTAAACATACTATTTATAAAGTATTAATTGATTAATATATATATCGCATTAGTTTTGAGAATATTTTAACTTCAAAGCTGTTTAATATTTGAATAATAAATTATTAAATGAGCTCTTTCGTTTCGTGGCAGGGGTTTTTAGATTTTTGATCAGAAAAGATGTCTCAATAAGCAAAGAGTACAGCCAAGAAAGAGAGTAAACGCGCTTTTTATTTAATTTGCGTGCAGCACTCGAGCTGATCGAGACAAATGGATTGTGTTGCTTCACTGTTTCTCACTTTTTTTTGAGTGACACCTTACTAGGCGTGTTTGAAGAAAAAAGAGCAACAGTTCAAAATGTATCGCCTTGCCGCACAGTTCGCACTCTTGACGGCGCTGCTGATGGTCGCGTGCTCGCAATCCAAGTGCTGTTTCAAAACTTATATAACGTTTCGAGTTTTCGATAAACGCAAGTATCCGTGCAAATATTTTGATGGCGGCATCGCTGGGCAGCTTGAGGAACGCTTCTGCTACGCACATCTATGCGGCAATCTAAAATCCGGAACGCCATTCTGCGGCGTCAAGAGATGCAACATATTTGGCTGCAACTGCGAGGGCGGATGTTGGGACAGTGGACTTGGTGTTATGCATAAGTTCTGGCTTAAAAATTGGGGCAAACTATACGATGTTAAGGAAATCGGATGAAAACGAATCACCTTCAAGTTGTTCCGTCAACGTCCCACAAAAAGTGACAAGGCCGCTAAATTCTAACGATTCCAAATTATCTTAAGCTTGCTTAACAACAGAAACGGAATACAACCAATAATTAAATTACAAATGCTTTTGCAATAAAAAGGCTATGAATTTGATCATGTTAGACAGACAATTCTTATTTAAGTTCTTATAAAAGTCGTGACTAACCTCAAATTTCTTCTATCTTTCCAGTCTTGATAACACAATTTTAATTAATTGCATCAAATGCGTAAAAAAATGCAAAGGCTTGTGCGCGGCGTGTATGAGGAAGAAGGAAGCAGCTCCGATCTCATTAGGAATCGATCTAGACAAGTCCGTCTGTCTGGTATGTAGACTCTCCTTTTATTATTTGATTTTTCCCCCTTCCCCGCGCTGCAGAATTTCATCAAGTCTGTCCAGATTTAAAGGTCTTGAAAAATGATTACTTTTCGGTTGTTTTAAAAATTTAATTTTTTTAAATTTTAATTTCTGAGCTGTACTCCTTTATGACACAATATTTTCGTGGTATTACAGATACCCTAGCATTCACATCGGCATCTTCTTCTACTTATTTCTTGTTCAGTCATTGCTCCCCAATGGGGGTCAAATATCGCGGACATAGGCCCTAAAACCATGTTAATCGTTGATCCATCCAGTTCAGAATTTCTAGCTTTTATGTCAACATAAGGCTATATTTTTCATGAGATGTGTTTGTTCGTATCGAAATTGTATCGCTTTGAACGTACTGTAAAAATAAAATCGAATGCGCTTCATGTAATTGAGAATTTCTGTCAATAAAATGTTTGCCATGCCTTCAATGCTGGGCATTCCAGTTATTTGATTAAAAACAGGCAAGCCAACACATATGGATATGCATTACAACATCACAGCTGCAACTAAGTGTGCTCGAGTGTTGGGCCTAACAACAATAACAATTTTCTAATTGACAATAACTCTGCACTCGACACGATTGCCAGAGCCAATGCAGAGTTGGCCGGCTTTGCACAACTCCTGCGATAATGCCAAATAAATTCCAATTGTAATTGTCACAGCTTTTAAGAAATTAAGAGAGACAGAGCCATGGAGAATGCAGTTTTCTGCAGCTGCTAGTCTGGGTGGCTGGGTGGCTGGGCGGCTGGGCGGTGGAAGGACGAGTATTCTGGCTTAAAGTGCGTGCGAAAGCTTTTCTCTATTTTATGGCCTTGCAATGTTTATACAGTTGTTGCTTTGCTTGTTCTTGTTATTGTTATTGTTGCTGTTGCTGTTGTTGTTGCTGTGCATATACTCGTAGCATAGGACATAAATATGAAAAACACTTGCCAAAATTCCGGGGAAATACAACACCGAGCCAAACACTCTGAAAGGACCGGGCACAAAGGACAAAGACATCGAGCCGGAAACGCTCGTTAAAAATTGTATTCAAATCGATTTTAAAGCTTGCTTTTATTTTTGGCTTGACAGACCGAGGTCAGGCCTGGCATAAAGTGGAATATGACAATACCTACACATACACCAGCAAGTGCATGTCTGCATGTAAATGTGTGTATCTGTGTGTGGGTGTGTGGGTGTGACTGGGGGGAGGGGGATGTATGGGAGTGGTGTGAGTAATTGACTACGTGCGTATAAACTTTCTGATGGCATTTTTGAACCAACCGGAGCCAACCAAGCTGATCCGCTTGCCCTTGAGTTGCATGCAAGTGTGTGGGTGGTTGTCTCCACCCGTGTGTGTGAGTATGTGTGTGTGTGTGTGTGTGTGCTTGTAATCATAAATATGCATTCTGTTGGCCATTTGTCATTCCATTGCCTTAGGCTACATGCTCCTTTACCCTCGCCGTTGAGTTGGGGTCAGCAATAAAATGAACAAAGTTGTGGGCAGCTCAATAGCAATTGTTAACCTGAGCTGCTGAAGTGTTGCAAAAATAATAATCCTAACAAATGCAATAATTGAAATGTTCCCAATTGACATACAAGTTGCCTTTCAAATAGAATTTTAAAATCTTATATTTATTCCTAATATGGAAGGAATCGGTATATCGTTAGTCCTCTTTAGGCATTCTTGGGATCAGTTCGGTGCACGTCAGCACTTCTACAACTGAAAAGAATATAAGTCTGTCTAGACTTAATGACTTCTGCACAAGTAACAGGCAAGCGAGGGAGAAGGAAAACGTTGAGCACCTCCTTTATTATTGTCCAGCTCTTAGCTCTCTGCCTCTGGAAATAGTAAACTAAGATTGGTTTATTTGCAGCTCCATTTCGTCGAAGGCAGACCAATGAGGCCAAAGGTATTAAATGGCAACACAATGGGCCTAGATGACCAAAGTGTAAGGACCTGTTAAAAGTTTACCTCCTAAACCTACTGTGATACAACCTTCTCTGCTTTAAGTTATTTCTAATGGTCCTTTTAATCTTATTCACATCACATTAACAATGGAACAATGAACTCAACTGCTCTAAACAATATGCATTTCAGATTGATTCGATATCCGAATCTCTAAATTATAGTTTAAATCTATAATCAAGCGTTAATGTAAGCAGCAACAGGATTTTTGTGAAAACGGAAGTAGATGTGTAACTTTTTCGTGACTTCGAAGAAAAAACATGACTAGATTTTGGTTACAAATATGCAACAAATAGCGACAAGCAAGAACTATTTGCATTTAAAAATCTATAAAAGCAACAAAATTTTTCATATTTATTTTATAATGGCATGTGTGTTCATCGGACATCATTCAGCGATTTGTTTTTCCATTACGATGAAAAATATTAAAAGTACAACAATTAATTAATTTAACATATGTATGTATACTATATTTTTTATACCTACGATTTGTTTTAACATCAGCAATAAAATCGTGCCAAAAACTGCATGCAGACGTCTGTCGAAACGTCTGTTGATTTTTAATTGATCTCAAAAGCTTTACACACACGTATGTGTTGTGATTCTTACTTGAGATCAAACCGTATCTTAATCAGATATTAAATCTATTTATTTCATTTCTTTAAATTTTTGGGAATTATGAGGGGCCTTCTTTTAAATTACTAGCTTACGAGTTTTTTATGAAATTAATTCTCGCACAACATCTTAGTAATTTTCCTTTCCAACACTTGTGATTGATTTAATTGCCTTTGTATTTCAAATCTTTCTTACTGCATGCCTCCAAGATGCCGTGTCTCTTGAATGGCAAGCAGCGCTGGGCCTTGATGCGGCATTCGCGTGTTCTGCTTCGGTTTCGTTTCCGTTACGTTTTACATGAAAAAGCTGAAGCATACTCTAGGGCTATATTTTTATTTTTTCGCAAACTTCGCACTTTGGCTGGCGCTTTCGCGCTCTCTCCCTCCCTCCCACACCGTTCCACTCCCTCCCACTCCGTTCCACTTACTCCTACTCCCTCCCATTCGCTCCCATCCTCTTTCTTGGTCTTTGGCTACAGTTGTTGCGGCGCCGTTGTTGCTGTTGTTGTTGCCGCAGCGCGCGCGCGCTTCTATTCAAAAGCTCACAAATACAATTTTAATGTTTCCGTTTACTTTAGGAAATATGTATGCATGAGTTCTGTTTTCTTTTGGCTGTGCCTGCGCATACTTAAACATATCGGTTACATACACACACACACACGCACACACATATACAATTGTAACACGGATTTCGTTTATGACGCACACAACATACAGTGAAGTGAAAAAAGGAAGTTGCATTTTGTGT